GCAATGTTTAACTAACAATTTTTGGAATAACATATTTGTTTGTTAAAACTTTTTGCAATTACAAAATTTATGAACATAAATAGTGAATTCGCGGTTTAAACGTAACCATTTCTACAAAAATTCCGGTTTGAACTTCTTTCATATAATATTATACACACAACAAAATTAAGAGTTCTCAAAATTTTGTGATTGATTGATAAATAAATCATTGGGATCATTTTGAAGATTACCAATATAAGTTTAAAATCATTGAATTTATAAGATTTATTGTTTTCTAATCTAACTAGTGGAAGAAGCTCTTGTTGTTTTCTATATTTATGGATTTTAGTTTCTTGTTGTTTTCTTGTTAAACTAAATTTGATTAGTTGTTATCATGCAAAAGTTTTAATTACAGAGAAATAAGAGAGACTGACCAAATACTAAATTTTGCGTCTGAAAGAAGAAGAAATCTTGTAACAAGTCTCAGCTTTTCTTCATCCCCATATACTTTTTACAAGACAACAGTCTTCCAATTTTATTTTTTTGTTCTTTTCTGTTTGGTTTTATTCATTGAACTAATTGTTTGTTGTACAAAAACATTCAATTTTTATTACAGTAAAAAACAATAATTTGTACTGTCAATTTTTTTGTCATTTTTTCCCTACAGGTTCTGTCATTCCCTTTATTGTAACACTTAAATTTTCTGACATTTAGATCCATTTAAATGTTAAGTATTCCAGTCCCATATTTATAAAATTATTCAATACAAAATTGGACTTAAAATCATCAGGGCTGCGATTAGGCCCAATTATAATAAACTCATTAAAGCCCATTTATAAAACGACGCGTTTCGTATCAATCTAACTTGTTGTTCAAGAAGTGTGCATCGTCTTCTTCGAAAGCTAAAAAGAAGAGCAAACACTTTCTCCGATTCGCACAGATCAAATCAGAGCTCGTATGATTTTCTAATCTCTCTTAAGTTCTTAGTGATTGTGTATCGTCTATCTTCGTTTTTCCCTCAGATTCTGGGTTTATTCAGATCCGTTATTCATCTAGGGTTTTTGATTTTTGTTGAGGTTTTACAGATCTAAAATCGAAGAAAGAAGAAGAAGATGTTTCTCACTAGGTATTAAAACCCTAAATCTATCTTCTTCTGCTTCTGGGTTTACTTCAATTTTCTTCCTTTTTGTTTGATTCAATCGTGGTTTTTGCTTATCGTGATTTTCCGATTTTGTTGTTTTAAGGACTGAGTATGATAGAGGAGTCAACACATTTTCTCCTGAAGGAAGGTTATTTCAAGTCGAATACGCCATTGAAGCTATCAAGGTAACTGTTCTATATCAATTGATAGTAGCTTCGAGGAAAAAGTTGAAGAACGGGGTTTTCTTTGATTGCTTAGACTATTGGACGAATTTGGCTTACATTTTGTTTGTTTAATGGATTTTATATGTATCTTTGAGGCTCTTATGATTGTGGAATTGTTTGTAGCTTGGTTCTACTGCGATTGGAGTGAAGACAAAAGAGGGAGTTGTGCTTGCTGTCGAGAAGCGTATCACCTCGCCATTGCTGGTTTAGTTTCTAACCTTGAATTATCTCTGCTTTCAAAGTTTTGATTTTGTTTGGTTTTAGTGGATTCAACAAAGTTATGGTGTTATGATGCGTTTTATTGTTCAGGAGCCGAGCAGTGTGGAGAAGATTATGGAAATTGATGACCATATTGGTTGTGCGATGAGTGGTTTGATTGCTGATGCTCGTACGCTTGTTGAGCATGCTAGAGTTGAGACTCAAGTAAGATTTTTGTTTCTCGGTGTTGATCTTTTAGAGTTAAAGGATGTTTCTATGTTATTGACTGTTTTTTTTTGCTGTTGGACAGAACCACAGATTCTCGTATGGTGAGCCAATGACTGTAGAGTCTACAACACAAGCACTGTGTGATCTTGCTTTGAGGTTTGGTGAAGGAGACGAGGAATCCATGGTAAGAATCTCTAGTTGCTTTCCATCTCTCGGCTTACGCTTTATGATCGAAAGAAGTCATCGATTACCAGAACAAAACATGTGATTGTAGGAGATCCATATTTAGCTGTTAGTTGTTACAGTTCGACATGAGTACTGATTCTCTTTTTCATCAATGTTACTACAGTCTCGACCATTTGGAGTATCTCTTCTCATTGCTGGTCATGATGAAAACGGACCAAGCTTGTAAGTTCTTAGTCACTTAAGCTTTCTTCTACTGGTATGATTCACTTGTGAGGAAGTTAGTTGATCTCGTTGTAAATGACTCCGTCTTGTTACAGGTACTACACGGATCCGTCTGGAACATTCTGGCAGTGCAATGCAAAGGCCATAGGTTCAGGCTCAGAAGGAGCTGATAGTTCTCTTCAAGAGCAATTCAACAAAGTAACTTGAAGCTTTCTCTCCAATAACTTCTCTATCTGATTGCATCTCTTACTTTGCCATGAAAATCTTAGTTTCGTTAACTTTTGTTGCAGGATTTGTCTCTTCTAGAAGCTGAGACGATTGCTGTATCGATTCTCAAGCAAGTTATGGAAGAAAAGGTACAGAAGTTCCAATCCAAAACGTACAATTCGCAGAAGTTTTGCTCCATACTAATTGTTCTGCTCTGTGTAGGTGACTCCAAATAATGTGGACATTGCCAAGGTTGCACCAGCTTATCATCTCTACTCTCCGCAAGAAGTCGAAGCAGTCATCGCTCGTCTCTAAGGAAAAAATCTCAATTCGGGTAAATTTACCTATCCGCTTTTGTCTTCTCCGGAATTCGAAATCAAGAGAATTTATTTCACTCTGTTAGATTGATGTTTCAAGTGACATTTTAGTCTGTTGTGTATGAGAATCTTTTGCGTCTACCTTATGCGTTCAATAACCTCTTGGATTTGGTATTTCCTCTCTTTATTTCTTACTTTTGAGCTTTGGTTATATAACTTCAAACAATGTCTCATATAAGGAATACACAAACATAGAGATCATACAACACTGTCAAATGAATATAAAGTAAATCGAAATCGGTTGTTTAATGAAAAAAAAAGTATATCTAAAGATCCGATTATAGTGTCACTATTAAGATAGCTGATATGTTACTCCTGCCGGAATCCAATCGCCGCCATGTAATAGCGTAGCCACTGTAAACTTCGCTGCCTCATCCGCTAACATCACCGGTTTATACCCGGCCCATTTAACTCTCTGAGTTACATCTGACCCGGGACCTGTATTCATATACTCTCCGTACACTATGCTTGCTGGTGGATCAAATCCAGAGACCCACGACATCCACCCGGAAGGTCGAACCACCGCCCCAATCTCTGTTTCCATAATCACTGTAGTCGAAAAATCCTTCCACGGTCGACCAAGATACGTTGGAGCGGTTACATTACCGTTGTTGGAGATAGTGCATCGCTGGATCGACATACCCGAGTTTTGGTTCGGATCTTTTTTACCCTGAGCTGTTATAGTGTTGAATTGGTTTGGAAGAGGCTGCCGTGGCATGATTTTACAGCCTTGGAAAACAACTGCCGCGCTTCCGAAGATAAAATCGATTGTTCCGGTGACATCACAGTCGCGGTAGAATTGGCGGTTGGAGTGAGGGTAGAGTGTATCTTGATAACCGTCAAAGGAACATCGGTAATAAACAGAGAAATCCGAGCCTGATCGGAATGCTACCGCCTGGTGTTTCGTTGCTCCGGAGGTGTTTATGATACTGATGTCCTTCATTATAAATCCTTTCCCTTGTATAGCTGCGCGAAAAGTAAATAAATTTTCAAAGTTGTAAGTAAAAATGTTTGATCCAGAGATACTTCATCAACAAGAACCATTAGCTGCAATTTGAGTGAAGCTAGGACTAGGTAAAATCACCAAATCGAACCAACCTGTCTCGAACCAAAATATCCGAATTTAACTCGAAAACTTAAGAACCGAATGGAACCGACCCAACTAACCCGTCTCGAACCAAAATCTCTGAATTTAACTCGAGAACTTAAAAATCGAATTGAACCAAAATATCAGAATTGTACTCGAAAACTTAAAACCCGAATCGAACTAACTAACCCGTCTCGAACCAAAATATCCGAATTTAACTCGAAAACTTAAAAACCGAATCAACCCGACCCAACTGACACTTAAAAACCGAATCAACCCAACCCAACTAACCGAATGTCCGAATGCCGACCCTAAAGTGAAGCTAGTGGACAATCAAATCAATTTTTTTTTTTTTTTTGTCAACTCAAATCAAATCAAATTTGACGTCTAAAATCTACTAATTTCAAGAAACTAATTAAAAGATAATACAATTGGCTAAACTCAATTTCTAAACCAAGACC